TTAAACACTGGCCACGGTTCTCAGTCTTCTTAAACACAGACCACGGTTCTCAGGCTTCTTAAACACTGGCCACGGTTCTCAGTCTTCTTAAACACAGACCACAGTTCTCGGGCTTCTTAAACACTGGCCATGGTTCTCAGTCTTCTTAAACACAGACCATGGTTCTCAGGCTTCTTAAACACTGGCCACGGTTCTCAGTCTTCTTAAACACAGACCACGGTTCTCAGGCTTCTTAAACACTGGCCATGGTTCTCAGTCTTCTTAAACACTGGCCATGGTTCTCAGCCTTTTTAAACACAGACCACAGTTCTCACCCTTCTTAAACACAGATCACAGTTCTCAGCCTTCTTAAACATAGATCACAGTTCTCAGCCTTCTTAAACATAGATCACAGTTCTCAGCCTTCTTAAATGCAGACCACAGTTCACAGCCTTCTTAAATGCAGACCACAGTTCAACAGCCTTCTTAAAAACAGATCACAGTTCTCAGCCTTCTTAAGTACAGATCACAGTTCTCAACCTTCTTAAGTACAGATCACAGTTCTCAACCTTCTTAAGTACAGATCACAGTTCTCAGCCTTCTTAAATGCAGACCACAGTTCACAGCCTTCTTAAGTACAGATCTAAGTTCTCAGCCTTCTTAAAAACAGATCACAGTTCTCAGCCTTCTTAAGTACAGATCACAGTTCTCAGCCTTCTTAAGTACAGATCACAGTTCTCAGCCTTTTTAAGTGTACTAAGGCTCAAAAATCTAAATTTTGCAACATACAAAAACAAACTAATTTCATCATCAAACACACTTTTCAACTGTGCTGATAACAGCAAATGAATTTAACACTTGAACCATCTATGACCAATATATCAGATAATTAATGTTTAGTGACGAACCTAATGACACGATTAATTGATTCAAAATATAGTAATAACAACAACTTTAACAGTTAGACAAGTTTTTACTTAAATAATTACAATGTCTCGACCGACAGTATCAAAATGTTTTTTTTAATGTAACTGTTACCCGATTATGATTGTAATTATTCAAATAAGAAGTTACTTAATGTAAATGTTATTTTATTTTGAACTAAATATTGGACAATTATTAACTTCATTTCATACAGTAGCAATCCTTTTTTCTAGAATAACACATTATTACAGATGATATCAATCTCATTTGGATTTTGGAGAAAAAAAAATTCCATAACCAATTTCCACGTGATTAGTAGCATTAGGTGTTTAAACGTGTCTTTCTAAAAATTTTCAAAGCAATTTTTTATCTAAACATTTTTTTTTTCCAAAGTACACTAAATTATCTTCTTTTATAAATGTATCTATTCACTTATTTCCAAAGGTACGTAACAGATTTTACAGTAACTACGAAGCTGCATCACATACTTACAAGCGGCTATCAAGAAATAGCTCCATTTACTTGGCTGAAAATAGTAGAGCAGGTAAGAGAAGTTTATAATAATTAATGATAAACAGCTCACAACTGAAATTATTTCCTGGAGTCGTTTTCCTGAAAAGATTCGAACATCAAACAATGAAAACCTTTCAACTCAGATATATTTTAACAACATATTAGTTAACATTTCTGACTACATAATAAAGGTTGTCTTAGTAAGAGAAGTTCTGTAATAAAAAAAAAATTGAAAGGTTGTTGAAAGATGAATTAAATATGCACACCTACAACTGATACAGTTCAAATTTATGAACCTAAGCAAGACCGTGAAGCATAAGAAAGCTTAAACTGAATCTGAAGAATCAAATTACTGTTCACTTCAAAATAACAACTGATCTTTCAGCTACCCTAATTTTTTAAACTATTAGACATAGCTGAATGTTACACTAGTTTCTAGAAAATAGTTTGGTGCTTGATTTCAGCTCATAACAAACACTGGTGAAGTAAATCAAGAACTTGTATTATACATGCTCCAAAGGTAAGGAAGATTTTATCAATCTTCAAAATTAACAGATAATTGTTTCAATATGCTTTGATAGACTGTTTAGGCAGAGTATTCATGATGAAACTTTGTTGAATGGACAACAACTGGCTGTTGGAGAAACATAAGAATCATTTTTACATTAACACAATAAAACCTTAACTGAACAGAGATTCCAGATTAGATGCAAGTAGCCTGTGACTACCACCAGTTAAATCTATGGGAAGTCGCTCCACCAATCAGAAACAGGGATAAACCAACCAAACATAACGCACTCTCCACTGTACACCAGAATACTATAAAGACTGACGACACCACACACACACACAGACCCGAAGATGAAAGGTGGAAGACTTGAAAATGTCATCCTCTACATTTGTGTTTGTACAACGGGGGGGTTAGAAAAAATTAAAATATTATGCTACATCTGAGAAAAATCAAGTTAGTCTACACAAAAAATAATTATTTAGAGACCCAATTTTTTTGAACTCCACATAATGTAAACATTATAAAATAGCTACCTCTAGTATAATAGCTAGCCAGTTCTTTAGCTCCTGCATGGTTCGGTCCCCACCTGGGAATTGCACTGTTGTTTTGAAGTGTATCAGAGTTACTGTTTGGATCATCTTCTGGCATCGAGTTTTCCCAGATCTGTTTCGCGGACTTCACGGGTTGTATTAATGTACAATTCATAATGGACTGCAAGAATAAAAAATTAACATATAAATTAATAATGAAACATATATATAAATGAAATATATTCTTGGTTCATACACTGAACAAAGAAATCTTCCACATAAAATCTATTTCTTAGTATGGCTTTGAACCAACATTTACATTCTTTAACAACCACAAAAACTTGTACAAGCATTCATCTACCTCAAGTAGACTACAGTTGGTCAATTAACTCAATTACTTGTGAGGTTTGATTAATGTCACAAAAACAATCATTGTTTCAAATCATTCCAACTGTCCGAGACTCGTGTGAAAATAATTAATAAACCTGATGATTATTCTGTTAGCAAATTCCATTAATTTCCCAGCTCTAATTACAAGTTACTGCTTTAATTATATGGTTGCTCCTTACTCATGAAAAATTAACATCCAATAAATGAAACTGTATCGCTGTTACCTACCCTACGAGTTTGGTTTGTTTTGTTCTAATTTTGCACAAAGCTACACGAAGGCTATCTGTGCTAGATGTTCCTAATTTATCAGTAATAGGGTAGAGGGAAGGCAGCTATTCAACATCACCCACTGCCAAATCTTGGGCTACTCTTTTACCTACAAATAGTGGGATAGATCATAACACGATAACACCACCACCCCCACAGCTGAAAGAGCGAGCATGTTCGGCAACAGGGATTCAAACCCACAACTCTCAGATCGCAAGTCAAGCACTTTTAACTACCAGGCCATGCCATGCTGTCCTAGCCTATGAAAGCAGACATTTCATATCAAGTTTCAATATATCTCTTCTACACCTTCTGTTAACAACCTTAAGAAGTTTCTCAGATTTACTCGAGTTTGTTTATTACACCAGAACCATAATGGCAATATCAGTATTTAAGCCTAAATAATGTAGCTCAAGTCATTTCTGTTACTTATCTGTTATCATTTTTAAACAATATACTCACATAAATTTTCTTTGCACCTAAGGGAAAGACATTTTATTATAATGGCATATTTTACTTTAATTTCAACAACCAGGCTGAAGATAATGTTGCAGTGATAAAATTAACTATACAGCATATTTGTTAGGGCCGAGTTTGTTTGTTTGTTTTGAATTTCGCACAAAGCTACACGAGGGCTATCTGCACTAGCCATCCCTAATTTAGCAGTGTAAGACTAGAGGGAAGGCAGCTAGTCATCACCGCCCACCGCCAACTCTTTTACCAACGAATAATGGGATTGACCGTCAC